AGCCAAGTGGCAATGTTAAGACAAAATAAACTACCTTTCTAACTAATTTATTTTTTTAATTTTAAATTTTAACTTAATTGGTTACACTACTTGAATTAATAAATATAGATATCTTATAATTATCTATAAAAAATAAAAAATAAAAAAAATACCAATTCATATATAATATAATAATAATACCAATTAATATATATAAAGAGAATTAAATAATAATAATAATAATAATAGTAATAATAATAATAATAATCATCATAATCATAATCATAATAATAATAATAATATTAGTTACTCTTTTTTAATTTGAATTTGAAATAATTACAAGCAACATAGTTAAAAAAAAAAAATTGAAAATAAGATACAAGAAAATTTTAATTGCTTTTTCCATATAATGTAGAAAATGTATTCTAAAAATATTGATACATTTACATAAATAATAAAAGAACATATATTTTGGACGATGTAAAATATGTAAATATCAAAACTTTATTTTGAAAACAAAATAGAAGAAAAGTCTAATCTTAATCCATATAATGTAGAAACTAAATAATCAAAATATTGATACATTTACATAAATAATAAAAGAACATATATTTTGGACGATGTAAAATATGTAAATATCAAAACTTTATTTTGAAAACAAAATAGAAGAAAAGTCTAATCTTAATCCATATAATGTAGAAAGTAAATAATCAAAATATTGATACATTTTTTACAAAATAATAAAATTCATATATTTTGGACGAAATAAAAAATTTATGTTATATTAAATGAGGTGTATATATATATATATAATAAAAGGAAAGACAATGACATCATATTAAGTCAATTAACAGCGTAATAAAAAATTACTTATCAACTTTAGGACAAAAAAAAATATTATTCATAAGAACAAGTCAAGTGTCAAGATAGTACAAAGTATTTTCCGCGCAGATACAAATACTAGTTGAAAGAAAACATAAAACGAAAATTTTGCTTGGGGGCGGGTGGACGCGGGAAGGATGTGGCGGTGGACCCTGGTAAAAATGGCAGGAATCAAACTTCAATTCGAAGTATACTCTAAAGTCCAAACCCAATATGCCCGTCGTCTTCTCCATTACCAAAACCCTACAGCCTTAAACCTCTACAAAAGACCCTCCAACTTGCCCGTCATATGCTTCTTCAATTTTAAATTCTCGTCAAAACTGTCATGAAATCGCTCAAAATTTTGCAGCAGCCCGCTTTAGCGGCTGTAGTTTTGTGGGTATTGTTAATACATGATTCGAATTCAGCAATGGCTGCTTCTGGTGGTAGGATGGGTGGCAAAGCATTCTCTTCGCCGAGTTCTTCTTCTTCTTCAAATAGTAAGATTACATCTTACAGTACCCCTCGCCGCCCTGCGCTAGTAGATTACGCAGAAATTGACTACTACTCAATGAGAAGACAACAACCCTGTTGTATTCATCGTAATGATATTCATGCCTCTTCGTCGTCTATTCCTTCCCATTCTTGGACACGCGATGAGTATATTGTTGGTATTGCGGCCTTATTTGCGGCTATGATCTGTTTTGGAGTGTTTATTTATGAGGCCGATCGGACTAAGAACAAAACAAGTGTTCTCATGCTGCAGGTAATCAACTGATACATAAATGCACTATTGTCGTCGTGATTATAATCAACTGATACATAAAGGCACTATTGTCTTTGTGATTAATATAGTGGTTATTGTCAAAGACTAGAAATTAAATGTAAAATTGTCGATATAACAATTAGGGTTCTTTTGGTTTAAATAAAAGTTAAGCATGGGTTGTATAACACGAAGATTAATACATAGGAATTAGTAATGCATGGATTGTAATGCAGGTATAATTTTTATCGGTCATTTGGTTCTTTGGTATTAAAAGTGTGATATAAAGTGTTTAACTTAAACTTATGTTTGGTTTAAAATTGTATAAGGGCTTGGAAAAGGGTTTGAGGAGATCCTTATGAAGAATGCAGTTAATGCTAGAATTGGCATAAAACTTATTATAATTAACTGCGCAGAAATTGAAAATTGCTACCAAACATTGGATAAGCAATGCATATATTTTATACCATGATTGTTTTGTCCAATACTTCTTACCAAACCTGCCCTTATTGTACATAGGTTACTTTAAGATTTGTTTCGCTTAGGTTGGTTATAGGTTTAGTGAGGTTAATAATTAATAATTCTTGCCAAGTTTGGTGGTTAGAAGTTTTAGCTCTTGAAATTTGGGTGATTGGTCAGTTACTTGTTAGTGCAATGACTTTGTTCACCAAAGAAGTTAAATATGGATGGTCAAGTTGTTTTGAGCATAGGGTTACTCTAGAGTCCTATGGAGAAATTTGGGATTAGTGATACATAGAGGAGCCCTACATTGGGAAGGTTATTGGTATTGTTATAATGATATAATGTTATAGCCAATGAAGTAAAGAAAGTAGATCTGTATTTGTTGCTAGGACGCCCATGTTTACCATATTTGAAGATTTCGACATGTGTTGATACCCTGTCATTAACATTGTCGTGTGCCTTTTGTCCCCTGCTCCCAGATATCAGTTTCAGATAGCATAAAGTAAATCCACAGGGTTGTGGAATGTATCATCACTGCTTGGACAAGATTTTGGTGCACCTAATTCTTGATAACATTTGCATGGACGGCTGGTTCCTTGAAATTGTTATTTCAACTATGGATAATCGGTTCTAAAGTGCAAAATGTGGAGTTCAATATAAATATTTGCATCATCTTATAATGCTTTGTGCAAGATAGCTGCTTCACCAAAATTCTCTGACATATTCCTGAATTTGCTTGTTTGCTGCATCTGTTGACCAGAAGTCCTCTAGTTTCAAACCCCCTTATAGTTTTTGATATTTTTCCTCCATTTCAATTGGTAAGTGGATGCTAATCTAAAAGTTATTCTCTGCTACAAAAACTAGAGGGATGATTCTACTATGATTTTTATAGTCTAATAAATTGTACTGATGATGGTCAACTAGTTTGTGCTCATATATGATGAAGGGCAGCCCGGTGCACTAAGCTCCCGCTATGCGCAGGGTTCGCGGAAGGGCCGGACCACAAGGGCCTATTGTACGCAGCCTTACCCTGCATTTGTGCAACAAGCTGTTTCAACGACTCGAATCCGTGATTTCCTGGTCACATGGCAGCAACTTTACCAGTTGCTGAAAATTATAAAATCTTGAATGAATCAGTTGCTGAAAATTATAAAATCTTGAATGAACCATCTTCCTTCCAGTCATGACTGCTGTTAACACATTAAATATCAAGCTTTACATAAGTGATCACTGATTCCTTGAAATTGTGCATTCTGACATTGATCGTGAAGCAATCGGACCATCATCTTCACTTCCAGTTGCTACTCTCAATTGAATCAAGTCTTTTGAGTACCCTCCTCTCAATTGACTTTTCCTCAGATATTGCTTATGATGACCTAGGTATCTATAGGTTCTTGTAACAAGATGAAGTACTACTATTCAGTATGTTGAGCTCTTGTTTAGTTCCATTTTCTGAAATTTTGTTTGCCTTGCATTTGTGTTATGCTTACAATTTCTTTACTACTGTTTCACTGCTTTTACTCTTTTTCCCTAAAGGTTGGGTTGTTGGACTCGGATATATCACTTCAAAAGGAACTCAACGAGATTGCAGATGTGGCAGATACATCCACAAAACAGGGTTTAAGCTGTTTGTTGACAGGTAAAGATAGTTTGTGCAAATCATTTAAACTACAGTATGTGTGCAAATATATGAGCTGCTGAATTTGACAAGATTAATGTGAACTAGTGTGAACATTTGGAAGCCTCCTTTTAGGAGGAAATTGGTAGATGCATTTTTTCATGCATTTACATTGCATGATCACATTTAATGTGATGTCATGCATGACATTATTAAAGCCATTTCCCTTCTATAAATAGCAAGGATTTTTTTCATTTGTAAACATCTCTCACTTGCCTTCTTATCTCCTAAGGCATTTGAATCTTCTTTCTCTCTTATAGTATTTCACTTGTATTTTTGGAGTGAAATAAAGTTTGAGTTGATTGTGTCTGAGGACTATGCAAAAATCAAATTTTGCCGAATCTCGTAAACTTCTGGTGTTCTTTTTATTATTATTGTCTCACTTACTATTTATTAACTACCTTTAAATATAGTAGTTGTGATTTAATCACTCTCTATATATTCGATTTCCGCAACAATTGGTATCAGAGCTAAAGTTCTATCTGAGTATGCTCTGTGGTTGCAGCATAGTCTGAACTTCCACATCAGAAAAGAATTACTTTGGTGTTATGTAGTGTCAGCAAATAAATAGTATCTGTAGCAAAAATAGGAGACAAAAAAAATGAAGAGTCCACATCGAGTGTCAGTAATACGTCGTTGGCAACTTCGCTTATGACAAGAATTATGTCAAATGCGAAATTTGCAATTGAAATTATTGACGGGTCAGGACATTTTGGGATGTGGCAAATTGAGGTTCTTGATGTCCTTTTTCAACAAGGGCTAGATATTGCAATAGAAAAAAAGAAACCAGACAATATCGGAGAAGAAGATTGGAAGATTATCAACCGCGTTGCTTGTGGTATCATTCGATCTTACCTCGCAAGAGAACAAAAATATCCATACACAAAAGAAACTTTTGCAAGTAAATTGTGGAATGTATTGGAGGATAAATTCTTGAAGAAAAAAATCAAAATAAATTTTACATGAAAAAAAGACGGCTACGCTTCACATATGTTCCTGGTACTACAATGAATGATCATATCACCAGCTTTAATAAGTAGGCGACAGATTTGCAGAATATGGACGTGACTTTTAGTGATGGAGATATGTCCTTAATTTTATTAAGTTCACTTCCCGATGAGTACGAGCATCTTGAAACTACTCTACTTCATGGGAATGATGAAGTATCTCTCAAAGAAGTTTGTTCTGCCTTGTACAACTATGAACAAAGAAAGAGAGAAAAGCAAAAGAGTGGAGAAAGAGAAGCACTGGTCGTGAAAGGTCGTTCTCAAAACTAGATGAGAACGAAGAAAGGAAGATCGAAGTCAAGATCCAGACCCAGCAAAGATGAATGCTCCTTTTGCCGAGAAAAGGGGCACCGGAAGAAAGACTGTCCAAAGTTGAAAAAAAGGCCTAACCTAACAATGGGAAGGTTGTCATAGATTCAAATGTAGCTGATTGTGATGACTCTGATTTCTCACTAGTTACAACTGAGCCATTCAAACCATGTGACATTTGGTTGATGGATTCAGCTTGTAGCTATCATATGTGTCCCAACCGGGATTGGTTCGTTGATTTTCAAAAAGGAGAATGTGGAGTTATTCACACCGCAAATAACAATCCTCTTGTCGCATATGGTATTGGTTCAATCCGATTAAGAAACCATGATGGATTGATCAGAACATTAACAAATGTTCGATACGTACCGAAATTGAAGAAAAATCTCATTTCTGTAGGAGCCCTAGAGTCAAAGGAGTTCAAACTCGTTGTAGAAAATGGGATAATGAGAATATGCTCCGGTGCACTAGTGGTAATGAAGGGAATTCGGAGAAATAATAACATGTACCACTATCACGGTAGTACAATTATTGGGACAACAACAGTGACATCCAGTGATGACAAGGAGGCAGAAGCAACCAAGCTATGGCACATGCGCTTGGGACATGCTGGGGGAAAATCCTTGAAAATTTTATAAGATCAAGGATTGTTAAAAGGAGTAAAGACTTGCAATTTGGAGTTTTGTGAGCATTGTGTCAAGAGGAAACAAACAAGGGTTAAATTTGGAACAACTATTCATAATACTAAAGGTATTTTGGATTATGTTCACTCTGATGTTTGGGGTGCTTCCAAAACACCTTCATTAGGTGGGAAACACTATTTTGTAATCTTTATTGATGACTTTTCCAAGAGAGTGGGTGTATACTATGAAAACCAAAGATGAGGTGCTTGGGAATTTTTCTCAAATAGAAGGCGATGATAGAGACTCAAACAGGCAGAAAGATAAACTGTCTTCGCACAGATAACGGTGGAGAATACAAATTATCTTTACAATAAGATTTGTGAAGATGATGGCATTTTGAGACATTTCACCGTCAGAAATATACCACAACAGAATGGAGTGGCAGAACGTATGAACCGAATTTTGCTGGAGAAGGTTCGGTGTATGTTGTCCAATGCTGGCTTGGGCAAAATTTTTTGGGCTGAGGCAATAACATATGCATGCCACCTCATGAATCGTGTACCATCTTCCGCTATTGATGGCAAGACACCATTTGAAAAATGGTATGGAAAACCTCCTGAAGATTATAATTTTTTGCATGTGTTTGGCTCAATTGCATACTATCATGTGAAAGAGTCAAAATTGGATCCGAGAGCAAAGAAAGCTATATTTATGGAGATTACTTCTGGAGTCAAAGGATAACGATTATGGTGTCCAAAGACGAGAAAAATTATATTCAGCAGAGATGTTACCTTTGATGAATCTTCCATAACATATAAGGTGACAGTTGAAGATGTCAAACAAACTTATGGTGCTTCAAAGCAGATGGAGTTTGAGGAAAAATTAATTTTTCCAACACGGAGAAAACGAGGAAGCAATAGAAGATTTCCCCCTCGAAGAAGAGTTAGCAGAGAGGGAGATTCCAATTCAGGAACCTCAACAACAACTTGAATCAATAGCAACCAACAAGCCAAAAAGAACAATAAATAAACTTGTTCGTCTCATAGGGTCGGTGGCTTGTGCAGCCTCAATTGTAGCTGATGGTGTTCCTATCACTTATAAAGACGCAGTCCAAAGTTCAGAAGAAGATAAGTGGAGGATTGCCATGAATGAAGAAATGCAGTCCCTTCATCAGAATCGTACATGGAAATTGGCCAATCCCCCGAAGGGCAAGGAAGTAATTGGGTGCAAATGGGTATTTGCAAAGAAAGAAGGATTTCCTAACCAAGAAGATGTTCGCTACAAAGCAAGATTGGTGGCCAAAGGGTACACTCAAAAGGAGGGAATTGATTACAACGAGGTGTTTTCTCCAGTCGTAAAACACTCCTCCATTAGAGTTTTGTTGGCTTTGGTAGCGCAGTTGAATTTGGAACTAGTTCAGTTAGATGTAAAAACTGCATTTTTACATGGAGACTTGGAAGAGAAAATCTATATGACTCAGCCAGAAGGATTCAAAGTTGCTGAAAAGGAAAATATTGTGTGCAAACTTGAAAAATCGTTGTACGGATTGAAACAATCTTCTAGACAATGATACAAACGATTTGACAAGTTTATGTTGCTGCAGAAGTACAGAAGAAGCAAATACAATCATTGTGTGTATTTGCGCAAGCTTGAAGACGGATCCTTCATATATCTTCTCCTATACGTTGATGATATGTTGATAGCTTCCAAAAGTCAGGAGGAAATTGAAAAGTTGAAGATTCAACTAAGAAAAGAGTTTGAGATGAAGGATTTGGGTGAGGCGAAGAAAATTCTTGGCATGGAGATAAAAAGAGCTAGACATTCAAAGAAACTCTATCTATCTCAGAAAGAATACTTGAAAAGAGTAATATATCGTTTTGGCATGAATGAGAACACGAGGTCGGTTAGCACTCCGCTTTCTCCTTACTTTAAGCTTAGTGCTGCTATGTCGCCGAAAAATGAAGTGGAACGAGAGTATATGTCAAGAGTACCATATGCGAATGTCGTTGGTAGCTTGATGTATGCAATGGTTTGCACAAGACTTGATATTTCACATGCTATCGGAGATGTAAGCAGGTATATGCATGATTCACGAAAGGAGCATTGACAAGCTGTGAAATGGATTCTACGGTATATTCGTAATGCTGTAGATGTTGGATTGATTTTTGAGCAGGAAGATAGTCAGTATTTGGTTGGATATTGTGACTCAGATTATGCGGGTGATTTGGACAAGCGTAGATCAACTATTGGTTATGTTTTCACTTTTGCAAATGCACCGGTTAGTTGGAAGTCTACTTTGCCGTCAACGTTCGCTTTGTCTACTACTGAGGCAAAGTACATGGCAATTACGGAGGCTGTAAAAGAGGGAATTTGGCTTCAAGGGTTGCTTAGAGCGTGTAGCGACGCGAGGCGAGACAACATCGCTATTTTGGTCTGTTGCGTTGCGAGAAAGAAAAGGCGAGCGCCTCTGCCTGTGTAGCGAGAGGCGTTGCGAGGAGAGAGGCGCTGCGAGGCGTCGCTTTTTGAATAAAACGGAAGAAAAGGCAGCATTAATATTAAAAGACAAAATTAGGGCTTGCGTTTCACTTTTCTCCTTCAGCGACGAGCAGCGACCTTCTTCTTCTCCTTCAGCGACCTTCGATCTTCTTCTTCTTCTTCCATCATCCGCCATCATCAGCAGGTATGTTGCTTTCTTTTCTTTTCTTCTTCTCCTCCTTTTTTCTTCTACTTTCTTCTTCTTCTTCTTCTATTTCAGCAGCGACTTCTTCTTCTTTTTTCTTTTTCTTCTTCTTTCTTCTTTCTTCAATCATTCAATGACCAGCTCTTTCTTCTTTCTTTCTTTATTTTTCTTCTTCTTTCTTTGCTGATTTCCAAAGGCAGTAGCCTTTTTTTTTTGCTCTGTTTTTCTTCTTCTTTCTTTGCTGTTAGTTTCTTCTTTTTTCTTCTTCTTTCTTTGCTGTTTTCCCGAGGCAGTAGCCTTTTTTTTTGTTTGTTTTTCTTCTTCTTTCTTTGCTGTTTTTCCAGAGGCAGTAGCCTTTTTTTTGTTTGCTCTGTTTTGTTTGCTCTGTTTTTTCAATTATAGAATTATAGTCTTATACTTATAGAGTAGAATTAATTGCATATTGACTTGATAATTTTTTTTCTATAAAACAGCGTTGAAATGGCGTCATCCGATAGTAATAAACGAAATGACTATCTATTGAGTCTTTAATTTTTGAATGATATATTTATTAATATATTATTGTTATTGAGTTTTTAGTTATATGTATATAATATTTTATGTTTTCGTATAAATTGTCGCTTCACATCAAAAAGGCGAGCGCTTTGCTGCGCGCCTCTCGCCTCAGTGAAGTGGGCCTTCGTCACTATTTGTCGCCGCACGCTATCCAAAACACTGTAATCGTAAACTTCTGGTGTTCTTTTTATTATTGTCTCACTTACTATTTATTAGCTACCTTTAAATATAGTAGTTGTGATTTAATCACTCTCTATATATTCGGCTTCCGCAACAGGAGCTTCGCAGTAACAACATTTTATCTAAAAGTTTCTTATTAATTAAAAAAAAGCCACTTACTTTTCTTCCCCTATAGGACTGAGTTGAGATTTTTGGCTTCAATCCTTTTTCTTGTTGAAATGGCTTATGCCTTCTAATTTAAAGACTAAAAATTGGCTAGATTTTTCAATTGATGTCCCATGGTATTATTTATTTCTTACATAAGCTGATGTTTTCCTTGCTGCAGAGACAACATTAGCTTTGCTTCGACACCCTGATTATTGCATCTCAGCTTATTCATCTGTGAGTGAAAGAAATACTTCATTTATGTGCTTTCTGATGTGTGATTATGTGGTTTTAAACGGCCATAGTGGCAAAACAATGAACTTTTATCCTGTTTTGCCAGGATCATGATCCAAAATTTGCAATAGCATTAGTTCTCTTCTTTTCCCATTTTTGCTCCTTATTTGATTGAATCAGAATATATGATAATGTTACTTTTTAAATCAGCTAAAATCCGTAAGACTGGTTTTAGAGTGAAGGTTTGGACCTCTGATTGAATTCAGTTTGCTTTTTTCATTTCTATTCTCTCTCCATCTAGAAAACGTTCAGATGAATGGGTTCTGACTTCTGAGTGCAAGGGTCAAATCATAGGTCTTAATTCATACACCAAATATTAAATGTAATGAATGTATGGAAAAACTGTTATAGGCTCGACTCGTATAATTATGGTTCATGTATTCTGCTTTGTGCTACCAAGTCCAATAAACCCGTAATATATGGCCCTGTATTGTCGGAGCTCAGATTTTGATAAAGAACTGAGACTTTGTGCACCCTCTCGATTCTTGAGATGAGCACTGACATTTTATGGGACTTATTGACTTAATATTACAATAACTAATTTTCAGATGTGTTCTCCTGATGAGTATTGGATATTAAGAAGCATTTCTTATCAGCTAAAGTAATATATCTGTTACTTGTCACCATTAATATTGTTATTTTGGGGGGCATTCACCCAAAAACTGACCAACTTTGTCGGGCTGGTTGCTCCAAAATTAGTTCTTGCTCTTGTAGATGGTTTCAACAATATCTGTAGAATGCTAGACTGTCTCTCTGCTAAGGTTGGGCTCTTCAGGTCCAAAACAAATTGACGACCAGCCAAGGAGGTTCGGAGTTGGTTTCCCTGTCAAATACCAAAGCCATTTTGAAATATTCAAGGGAAGGGAGGGAATGAAGTCAGCGCTGATGAATAAATACTTTCTTGTGAAATGGGAAATGATTTGATGAACTAATAAGTAATAAACAAATGCCTTAGAAGTATGCTTTAGTTGGTTAGGGAGAACACAGTGCTTTACTCTGTAAGTTTTTGGATAGATAATCTCAGTAGTCCAACCCAAGGTCGGGGGGAATTTATGATATTGTGAAAGAGCTGCTAATTAACGCTTCCAGTTTCTAGTTTCAAAGTCTTGCTTTTGTTGCATAATTAACTAGTGAAAAAGAATCCAAACCCATACATGAAACAGCTTTTATAGTGCCCAAGACTTCTCATTTTTAGTGCATATATGCTGTTATAGTTTAGAAGGGGAGCCTTGGAGCAACGGTAAAGTTGTCTCCGTGTGACCTATAGGTCACGGGTTCGAGCCGTGGAAACGGCTACTAAGGCTTGCATTAGGGTAGGCTGTCTACATCACACCTCTTGGGATACGACCCTTCTCCGAACTTTGCGTGAACGCGGGATGCCTTGTACACCGGGCTGCCACCCTTTATATGCTGCTATAGTTTACCTACAGATAAGCCATGCTAGATAGAAGTCTTAATACCTTAGTGACGTAGTTTCCCTTTACGCCAAATCTGCAATGCAACTGCAGTATGAATCATTCCTTTGGCTTCCGGACTATACATATGTTGAACTGTATAGGTTCTGGTTCAAGCATAGGCATTTATCAAGTACCTTTATAGATTAATTCTACAACTGTTGTACCCTGCAGCACCAGTTGTCTGAGAAGAACTAGGCAAAAATTTATAATGACCAAAGCAGTTAGGATGGAACAAAGCTAGCATAAACTTCCGCTCCTTCTTTGTTGATATTATAATCATGTTTTGCTGTCTTGAGGCTTGACTTTTCTTCTCATTATTTGGTTAATCTCTGCTATAATGTGATTTCTACATTTTAACCTTTGCCGATTTTTGTATCCTCAACTGGGCTAGAAGATCCTTCTCATTATTGAATTTTCACACCAATGCATATTGGGGAGTTCTTTCAAACATTGGCATTCTACTGAGTATATTTTTTGCGTCTCCCATGCAGGTTGATGTCAAAAGGAGCATGGAGGAAGGTGAGAGTCGATTCAGTCGACTTTCCGTTGAGGAACGTGGCAAATTTGACGAAGAGACACTTGTGAATGTCAACAATATTAAAAGGAAAAAGTCCATGAGCCAAAGGGGAGATGGATTTAGCAATGAATACATGGTGGTAAGAATAACCTTGTATAGCCTTTTCCATTTTGATTTTGTAGGTTTCTCTGGTCTAAAACGGGAATGGGGCTTCTTTAGTTCCATTATAAAAGCTTTTCTAAATGTTGGGAGCTATTATCTTAATGCTGTTGTTGGTATTAGGACTATAGGTTTATGTTTGGGTCAATTGCTTTTGTGGCCATTACATTTTTTCTTATAAAAAGGACAGCCCGGAGCACTAAGCTTTCGTTATGCGCGGGATCCGGGGAAGGGCCGAACTACAAGGGTTTATTATACGCAGTCTTACCCTGTATTTCTGTAAGAGCCTGTATCCACGACTCGAACCCGTGATCTCCTGGTCACATGGCAAAAATTTTACTAGTTATGCCAAGGCTCCCTAAAGATCTCCCTAGAGATCTTTATTTTCTCACAAAGAGATTTGTTGATCATTCTTTTCTGCATATTTGCAATTTCAGGTTACAATCTTGGTAGCTGCTGAAGGTGTTTATAAATTGCCTACTGTTAATGGAAGGGGAGACTTGAAAGAAGCCTTGCAAAATCTTGCGTCTATTCTTTCCAAAACAACACTGGTAAGCAAAATAAATGGTCATAAAAATGCAACAACTTTTCTGCTACTTCTAGTTTTTCATTTGTGATATACATTTACTTATTTCAGGCAGTTGAGGTTTTATGGACTCCTCAGAACGAAAACGACACATTATCAGAACAACAATATCTTGAGGATTACCCACTGCTGCGGCCTCTGTAAGAAAATTGGAATTTCATGATCTTTTACTTTCTAAAAGTTATGTAAAGGCTTCCATTTGTTATCTCCATGTATATAGATAGCTAGAGACAGATTTCTCATTTAAACTTTATGGGTGAGACTTTTAAAGTTCATAGCACGGAACTTGTTGGGCCTTTAGAATTTCACAATCACTAATCTACTATGTTTAAGTTGTTATATATATGAAAGTTTTGCAACTGCTCATTGATCTGGAACAGATGCATACACTAATTATCTACACATGCAACATAGACTTGATGTATTCCTGAAGGATAGGGAGGGAGTGCTTGTCATCATAATTGTACATAAGAGGGACCATTCTTGCAAAATTAAGTAAAGCTTTTGTGAATGATCCTAAAGATCGACTCAGACGCAGATGTTCCTTGTTAAGCTGCTTCCATTCATCTTCTATTAGCTTAAACACATGATTTCTCGCCAATTCAAAGGAAGCAATTTTTTGTCCCTTCATATAACATTCTATGTATGAGCCATCATTCCCTTCTTGATTCTCATCCTGCACGCATTGTTTATATTATTCCAAAAAGAACAAACAGTGAAGAATTAGTTTAGCTACAGAATATTTACTCCGTCCGTCCCAATTTATAATGTGATAGTGTACTGCGAGTGGTTATGGAGTTTAAGAAAGATGAACACTGCTCTGCTGCATGATGGACGGAACCCGTGGGGGCGCCTTTTGTTACTATTGGACAAATTTCTTTTTTAGTTTTGTTCTTGTTCTTTGCCATAACGCTCATTCTGGGACGAATTAGAAGAGGAATTCCTTATTCAATTCTTACACGGACGAACACCGGTATTTCACTTTCCAAAGAGTCTTAACGTGGTGTTGTATACCTAGCTCCATAGATGGGCTAGTCACTAGCTAGAGGCCAACCAGCCAGTCCGATCGATGGCAACCAAGGAAGAGCCTATTCTAAAGGAGGAGGAGCTAGCTTTATGGAGGAATCAAATCAAAGCGAAGAAATTAATTAGTTCATGCCACAAGAATCTTTGATTTGTGGTCTAAAATATGCCACAGATATTTCAGTCACAATAAATCATATCATTAAGGATAAAATATTAAATTTAAAGTTAAAATATTTCTAAATACAGAAATATATCATTTTTGGGTACACTTAAAAGGAAAGTGTGTCATATACAATGAAACAAAGGAAATACTAAAACTTGTCGTTAAAGTAGATTAGTGATGGATTACCGATAGATTTCAACTTGTAGATAATTTCGCGGCAGGGGAGGAGCGGGGAGGAGCTAGCCTATTAGATGCGGGTTCGGTCGAATCCAATTATTTTTGTTTAAACACTATATTTGTATTAAAAATTTAATAAATATGTATATATATTTAATTATGAATCTAGTTACTAAGACGAGAAAATTCAGAACTTATAAACTTTAAATTTGGCTTCGCATGTGACCTCTATATCGCGGTAGCTAAAGAAATAATAAACTAACATGATATTTTTTTTTGTTACCTTTGCGCTTCCAAGATCATCCCAAAGACGAAGAATCATAGCCCCAGAAGACGCCATGGCTGATGTATCTTCCAAATTAATAGAGCTTTCATTATTGGTTACACCAAAACCTAAGAGATAGAACATATGAACTGAGAGCACATGCACTCCTGAACTAACAAGCCCATTTTTTAGGTACTCATCTGCTGCTGGTATGACTCCATCGGCAAACCATTTTGCTTCCTTTAGAAATGCATTGCATAGATTTCCCCACTGAAATGATAAACGATGTATCACATATGTGTATTGTCATTCTTCACTTGAGTTCCTACATGCTAAACCTACATTCCTATATGATATATTTATATATTTAGAAACTTTTTAACTTTAAAATTCTCATTTTATCCTTAAAGACATGTTCGTAGAATCATAAAAATATAATGACATATTTAATTCGGCAAAAGACCAAATAGACCCCTGTACTATGAGAAAAGATTTAAATATATCATTCGTTATACTTTGGGTCCAAATATATTCCTGCCGTAATACTATTGGTTCAAATATATCCCTTTCTGTTAAGTTTGTCCAAGGTGGACATCCAATCCTACATGACACTGATATTTGATGAGGTGAATGTCACATGGCTTGCCACTTCAGCGCCCCTAAGCCATTTTACCCCTCCCTTTTATTTGATTTTCCACCACTAAAATGTCCTTCCCCTCCACCACTATTGCCACTATTACCGCTACCATAAAAAAATATTATATTTCAAATTTTAGTCTTTAATATATGGGGATTAGGGGCATTGAGGTGGTATGCCATGTAGCATCCACCTCATCAAATATCAGCGCCACGTAGGATTGGATGTTGACCTTGGACAAACTTAATAGAAAAGAGGTATATTTAAACCAATAGTATTACGACATGGGTATATTTAGACACAAAGTATAACGAAAAGTATATTGGACCTTTTCTGATAGTACACGAGTAAATTTATCCCTTTACCGTATTTAATTTGGTCCCATTCAAAGGATACTTTTGATAAATGTAAAAAGTATTTTTTCCTTTTTAAACACAGTGTTCAATCAAACATCCGTGTGTAAAAGTAACAAATATCACTTGACTAGATTGATGTAATAGTTGGGACAAAAAATCCAAGAGCAATTCCTATTCAATGCGAAAAAGCATGTACACCCTCCGTTCAGTTTTACTTGGTATATATATATTAAAAATAAAATTTTATTTTTACTTGTTATTTTACGTATATTAAGAGAAGATAATTTTTTTTTTGTTATACCCATAGTATTTATTACTCATTTCAAATTATTTTCTCAAATTTAATAAAATATGTATCAATTAATATGGATAATATCTTGGTAAATTATGCACTTCATTTATTATTTTTTAAGGGGCGTGAAAAGTCAAAACGTGTCAAGTAAAAGTAAACGTTGGGGGTAAATACATACCGTTTTACGCAGGTTTTCAGTGGGATTCCATCCATATATTTTGTAGATGTTGTAGCCAATACCATTAATGGTATCATAAAGTGCCCTATAAGGTGTTCTCATGTATTCTGGTAAGTCCACCATGGCATCCAATTCCCACCTGCAATTTATAGCCTTTAAAATGTATTGACCACTAAGAGAAATTGGGATTTAAGTTATATATATATTGTTATAGTATCGGTGATTTTACACCGCTACATCATCAAAGGTTATGATGGAGTGATAAGTAATCTTACATCATTAATCAGAGGTCTCGAATTCGAGCCCTGGATATAAAATCGTCTTTGGTAGACAATGATTTATCACCCCAAAGTGGTACTTCACGGCCAGGTCGGGGCAGATTTAGGCCGTTTTATGTGTACATGAACCCGTGATCTTTCTATCAAACTAGATATTTTATGTATATATTTCATAAAATTAATCTAATATTATCTATTAGCCTCCATGCCCCAAAAATGTTGAATGGTGCACCTGATTGAATGCTGGGTTATTTATCCAAAGGAATATGGATCGATTCCCACTTAGTTTATATCTTTTTTCTCGCTTTTTTAGTAGTGCATCCATGTTCTAGAAATCCTAGATCTACCTCCGTTCAAAGCATAAATCTGGATTAGACGGATCCCAATGCGAGTACGGAATAACAGGTGGGATATCAAAAAAATATTATACTGACAATACAACTTAAACTCACAAAAAAAAAATCTTCAAGAAATTACCTATTAACGGCTTCTGTGAAGAGGGTTAATTCTTCAACTGTCCCATAAACATCGAAGATGTCATCTATAACATAAATGAAAGAGATGCATTTTGCAAGCTCAATCCTTTGCAGTGACATTCTTGGATCTGCAAAGAGTGCCATTGGCCAAGCATACCATTTTAATGGTTGGTCTCTCAAAAGCTTCAAGTCTTCAACTAAACCAAGACTTCTCCACCACCTATATTTAGAAGTTGCTTAATTATTCTCCACTTCATCAATAAATTAACTTTATTTGATTATATCCATACATGCATCATATAAAGTTTTACTTCTCAACATATATAATCAGGGGCGAGCCCTAAGGATGGTCAACTGACCACCCTTCGTCGAAAAATTACGCTGTATATATAGGTAAAATATTAGATTTTAATGGTATATAACAAATATTAAACACTCTTTATCGGAGATTTTTTTTTGCTTATTTCAAGTTTGAACACCCTAAATGAAATTCATGATTTCGCCACCGTATATAATAGTGTTGAAGAATTTTTAAATTGTCGAGTCACCCGATAAATAATTATTGGTAACTGTTTATAAAAAGTAGGATTAGTAGTCCAGAAAAATAAGATAAGTTACCGAACGACATGTTAAAACACTAACATGTGTAAAAATCCTTTGTACTATATATCATTATATATACTTAAGTTATTCGAGATTTAACTTATATACAGTACTGATACCACCGTAAAAAATTTTTACATTACCAATATTTTCTAATTAACACGTAGTATATAGGTAAACTATCTTATTTTTTAGGTTATTAATTTCACTTATCACGGATAATTATATATAATTATCTTTTAGTTGAATTGACAATTAGTAATTTTTTTTTACATTATATAGAAGTTAAACTCAATTTAAATTACCTGGAAACTTGAGACATTTCATGTTGATGAATCTCTCGGGCTATGGAGAAGTCAATATTTGCCAATTCTTGTAAGGTGCTTCTTCCCCATCCATTAACTCCTCTAAAGTTAGTGATGAAATTTTTTGCCTTGTAACTTGCTAAACTCTTGTGATAGGGATACTTCAATGTGTCATTAATAATTCTAGCTTGAACACAGTCATTATGTTCAAGATATGCATTCAGTTTCTGCCCACTGAAATTTGCAACTTCATCTAGTATATGTTCACCTTCTACACCAAGTTGTGCTGCTTCATATAGACCTATCAATCCACTTATGTCTTGGCTCAGGTTCAATCCAAAAGTCCCATCATATTTGTTCTTGAATTTTTTAAATACATCTGCTCACGCAATAGAAGATTCTTAGGTTAGATGGATATTTCAATGAATTTAACTTCTCTACAATAACAATATTAAAGTATTTTTACACTATCAGGTCATCTTAAAGATATTTTATTCGGGTCAAAATAAGCATCATTTTAGCAAAATCTATTTGGTTCAAGCTAGCTAAGTGATGCTTTATAAAGCAAAGGCGGAATTAATTATTTTTCTCCAATAATTGATATATAATTTATATGAGGTTTGGAGAGAAATAAAAGGAACTAGTCAAATAATCCTTGCGATTAATGCTATTCAATGATTTTCTTAAAAGATATGTCAAAATAAGTAACCTCCTTATAAAACAATAAGTGAAATTAGTAAGCTGAAAAATAAGATATTACTTGTTAATAATAAGTTAAAATACGCATATAGTATAAACTTTTCTTGGACTTTCACTGAAAAATCAACTAACCTGCTGGCACATAATAACCTTGTTGTCTCAAGAGCCGAAAACAAAGAGAAACCTCAAAATGGGTTTGATACTTGAGAAAACAAGCACTTTGAACGTACTCTTCCTCTAAAACTGATTCAATTTCTTCTTGAAAATGATAATCAATTCCCATACGTTGAAGGGCGTCGATTAAGACAAGATTATCCAACCGATTATGATTTACATTTGTCTTTAGTTCATGCTTAACATCCTCCACTAGTGCAAATTTCCTGTGAAATCCATCCTGCAATAAGTATTTCTTAGTATTAAAAAAAACAACAGGAAAGAGTATAGACAGAGAGAGAAAAAAACAAAAAAAATAGTAATTAATATATATATATATATATACACTAACAGTGTAAAGAAAATATACATTATCAATCTATGTTATCGGCCTTATTTTTGAGGTTACTAATATTATTATCGCACTAATCATGAACAGTTCTGTAGTTATCTTTTTATGTGACACGATGATAGTATAAAAAGAAATGAAAGCTTTACTTGATTGAAGTTCGTAGGAGTAGGACGATGGGAAGTTGTTCGGAGAAGATCTTCTTGAACGGCCCGTTTGTTAGAGCTTCCACATGAAACCTGAATAAATTTGCTGCTTCCATTTGGGCAACTGCTGCTTATGTGCATACAAAGATAAGAAGGGGAGAGTGCTCTACTCATTGCCATGTAAAAGATTATTTTGCTGTAGATAGTTTGAGGTATTAACTTGAAGAATAAACAGCAAACTGCCCCCTCTATTTATAGTGGTATGGGTACTTTGTGGTGTTTTCCGGGTCTTTTCGAATGCTTATTTTTCTATATTTTGATAAGTTTCCTTAAGGATCAATTTGGATTACATTGGGAAAATGCATAGATTTGGATACTTTTTTTCGCTTTTAGCCCGCGCAAAAAAAAAATTATTAACATTCGGTAGTCAAAAAAAAATATAAAATTCGTATAATTTTTGTATATAACATACAGAATATATATATGCAAAAAATATATATATTTCGATTATTATTTTGAAAGCAGTTATACTGTGTCTTTTTTCCTAGATTTGGGGTCTTTATTTAAGGCATATCCGAAATTTATAAATTTAATGAGTTTAGCGAATCAACTTCAGACACATACAATTGAAGTTAAGAAAATTCAGGTACGAAGTTACAAAATTTATATAAAATTTGGCATATTAGTTATGCAAGTAAATTTCAGACATTTTATTTGAACTTTCAGACATACGCATCTCAAGCCAAATCAGTGACAATCACGATGATGACTTCTCAAAACTCGGTCCACGTAGAAATTAAGAGCTATTGGGCAGCTGAAGTTAGTGATGAAAAAGCCCGGACCTTTTCTGATATGCCTTTCGGATTTTTATTACTGTCCATATGACCAATTACAACAACAATAATAAATTTAGTGATATCCCGTAAGCAAGGTCTAAAAATGATAATAATGTATGCAGACCTTACCCTCATATCTTGGAGAGACTGAAAAGTTATTTTCGAAAGACCATCAACTCGAGAGGATATATGCTTAATTAAAATTTTATATATAAAAAAACCACAATATGTCCATATATAAATAGGGCTTCTTACATTGGGTCAGTGGACAGATTTACTTGAAGATGTCACCAATACCTTTTGAGTGACACAAAGGTATACAAAATCATCATCTAGCAAGTCTTCTCGCAGCGAAATCAGGCAAAAGCATAAAGCAGAATATTAACTTTTGTATATCCGTTAACGATTATTTCATATCTTATCATTATTTCTTTTTGTTATATTTTAATAGCATCATCGTTATCTGCAGCGTCAAACTATATTTTTTCTATGACTTTTTGACGCTCTTTTTTTTATTTTATTTATATGATTAGATATGGAGTTTAAGAAATAAATAAATAAATTTAAAATTTATGATCTTAAATATGACATAATATTTGTGTATTTATAAAAGTTTCTCATCAATAATAAATTAGAAAGTTTAAAATTAATACACAAACTATGTTTGAATTTAGAAAGAAATTATTCTTTTTTATACTACTAAAAAAGTTATATTCACATAAATTGAACGAAGGGAGTACATATTAATTAAAGGGTTGTATTTGATAGTACTTGTTGTAGGATCTATAGGTCACGAGTTCGAATCATGAAAGCCGTCATTAATACTTATATTAAGGTAAACTGTCAACATTACACTTCTTGGGGTGCAGTCCTTCCTCGAATCTCGGTGGAATGCAAAATATTTTGTGTATTGAATTATCTATATATGAGGTTGTTATTTTCTTAAAACCAAGAAAGTATACTGGAAAGCAAATGTGGAAGAAAAGCGGTGGAAACATGTTTACAACGTTTTAGCACTTAGGGGCCCATTTTAAGCTTTTCTCCTCAGAATAATTGTATGCGAGATGGTCAAATCACATCACACTTTATTAAGCTAGCGATAACCACAAATCTTATATGATAATCTTCAATCTGTTTGGTAGTATCATTTAATTAGACGAAATTTAAGAATAAGAGATATCTAAACAATGGAAAAGGGCCAAATGAAATGCAGTGCTTGAAATTTATTATAAAAAGACCGGGAGATTTTCATAAATAAATAAAAAAGTCAAACAATAAGAAAATTGAAAGTACAAGTATAACTTAATTGAAAATTTTAAAAATAGAAAAGGATCAAATTTGACTATGTATTTACTGTGGGACCATTGCTTCCTTAGAGGGAGGGGTATATGCGATCCAATGGCTACAACTAGGATAAATTTATTCGAAAATTTGAACGGCGGATAAATAAATAAAAATTTGAAGTCAATAAGTAAATTTGACCATTTCCCCCTACAACAATAAGAAACTATGAGTGTACATGGATCCAGGGGCGGATCAAGAATTTAAATTCTATGGGTTCAATTTTAAGATTTTTAATATTGAACTCATTATATTTTTAAAGTTATGGGTTCATATCTACTATTTTTGCAATTTTAATAAATTTTTACATATAAATTTTTACTCCGCGTCGAAAGTTATGGGTTCAGTTGAACCCGTAACTAGTAAGCTACATCCGCCTCTGCATGGATCGAGTTGGTTCGTTTTTTTTTATCAAAAACCAAACCAAACCAAGTACTATATCGGTTTAAATTGGTTTGGTTTTATCAGTTTTTTCGGTTTTCTCGGATATTTTTGTTATATGAATATTATTTCAATATTACTTTGTTAAAGTTATAAATAAAGTTTTGATTAGTGAACATATATTTAGTAAAAATTGAACAAACTGACAAACATTTAATCAATTAATATATTATTATGAGAGAATATTTTTAGTAACACATGATAGTTATTTTCTTAGTCGTCTAAAATAAAAAACAATCATAAGTATTGAAGTGATTATACATGATCTTTTGAATCAAAAGATTCATTTTGTACTCTATTATCTTAAGAAACTCTGAGAATCTTCGAAAATCATAAATGTGACAAGCTTAGCTAATATTAAGAATTATCCCTACTATAGATATATAGCTAATTGGTTACTAAAAGACACAATTTGAACCACAGAATCGCAAGATTAAATCTAAAACCAGGAGAGGCTATTGTTGCCTAACGTCTATAGCTAGTTAGATAGTAGTATTTGTTCTATTATAGTTGATAGAGTTGTAACTGAATGTAAAGGAAAAAAAATAAAAGAGGATAATAATAATAATAATAATAATAATAATAATAATAATAATAATAATAATAATAATAATAACAATAATAATAAAAATTAAAAGAGGATTACATTTTAGTTATATGGTCTTTTTTACAGGAGCTCAGTAATAAAATTAATGCAGCGGAAAAAAAGTAAAAGAGATTATATTAGAATTTTTTTAACCTTCGTATGAGACACATTAAGCCACATGAAAAGTTTATTTTGACTATGATTAAAGTTTTATGATTCTAGCTCAAGATACTCACGCAATATTTGACAATTTTTTCTGCTTAATGTGAAAGTATATATTCTTTGCATCTCATTTTATGTGTAGTACGGAGTTTAAAAATTAAAAATAGATTTGACATATAAGTTGAATTATCAAAATTATCCTTTTAGTTTTCTTCTTAAAGGTAAAATAGAAATACTATAATTAAAGTTGCCGAAAATGCCCACATCGGCTACCATTCAAGAAAGAAAGGCAACTGAAGTTTTAATATAAAACCGAATGTTGAAAACAAGTCTAAATCATCTTTGCGCTTGGGGCAATGACGCAGCTAGTGAGGTTCTAACCGAGGCGCGTCTATTGCTGGTTGAAAACTATTTCCAAACCCCCTCTTTGGCCTGGGTTTTTCTCTGGCCATTGAGAATTTTTGAAAGGGCTTCCTTTTTGGGGTAAAGTCCTACAATTCTTAGTCTAATACTTCAATTTCATCGTATGTCTTAGTTACTAATTTTGTCATTAAATGTTTATATATATTTAATATATTTTTTAGTATAAATATATTGTTTAAGTATAAGTGAATTGTGTTTAGCTAAACCCGCATCTAATAGGCTAGCTCTGCTTATGGTTCATGTGTACGTTTGTAACCGAATTCATTTTAACTCACATATAATATAGCACTGATTTAAGTTTTTGCTCTAGTATATAATGTTTGGTTGGATTGAGAAAAACACTACATAATTAATGTAACTTAGGGCGGCCAGTATTAACTCACACATGCATTTATTTATGTATTATATTATTCTACGCAAGATAAAATATAGCAAAGACAAAGTTAAAAGTATTTAAATACATAAATGTAGTAATTACGTAATTCTTTTAGTAATTAAGCAATCCCCATATAGTTTCATGTATAATTACTCATTGTATAACAGCTTTGTATTACAACTTTTTCATTATTAATCACTATATAAATAATTCATATTACGTTATAAGTTGATCCAGACTTTGAAAAGAAGCGATCCGTAAAATTCATTATCAATGAAGAGATTTTACATAATACAACTGGCTCCTAAAATAATAATCGGCATATATATATTTTTTGTATGTTAACGTATAATATAACCGGTTAATTGTGTTTTTCCGGTTGGTTCTTTTAGTTTTAGACCATCATAATACCATACCATACAAAGATTTGTACATATACTTTTTTATCTTTTCATACCATAAACTACAATGTAGTCACTTTTAAAATAACTAGTATCTATGAACGTGCGTTGCACGTTAATAATGACATGTGATAATTTAAATATTTATTTATATGAAGAAATAATAAAATTTAATTAATGAAATTTTTTTTATGTATAATAATAGAACAATCATCTAAATGCCGAAAAATATTATTACATTAGCATAATACATGAATTTAAAATAAAAGGACATCATCAAAACTTACACAAATGATCAATTGATCAATTTTGTCATGTTAGTTACATAATTATGTATTATAGTTTGAAAGTATTTAATGTGATGGTATCTTGACGAACACTTCTTTGTGGACAATATTTTTGTGTGTATGTTTCTTCCTAATGCGTTGGTTGTTCTACCTTAACCAGAACTCTTATTGTAGATCTTGATATCCCTCTTGAAAGTACAACATACAATTGTTCGTGCAAGAAAACATATTGCGGTAAATATAGTCCAATATTTAGAATGTTTGTCTCGTGCTTTATTTATTATATTTTGCAAAACATAAACATACTAAAAATTATTTTCACACAAATTTAAAAGGATATTCCTT